AGAGAGAGAGAGAGACCCTTTTTGTGCCCTAGCAGAGAGAGAGAGGATTCGAGGAGGGAGCAGTCCTTTCCCAGTGCCCGAGCTCAAAGAAGCGAGAGAGAGAGTTCAGATGTGAGAGAAAGAGACGCGGCCCGACTTAAACCCCAAACCCTAAAAACTGGAAGAAGGCCAGGGACTCCGATCAACTTCCACTGGATTATCAAATGATTTACAGCTCCCACAGGAGCACAATGTTTATTTACTCCCAGTGCCCTAAACCCCAAACCCTAAAAACTGGAAATATGCCAAGGACTCGGATCAACTTCCACTGGGTTATCAAATGATTTTTCAGGCCCAATGGTTATTTACTCCCTCAGGCAAACCTTGATCAAGTAAGACCATTTTTGGGGATGCGGTTTGTTTAAAAGCCTAGGCCTTATAAATAAATAAATAAAACTTTACTTCATATCTTCTTAAAAAAAAAAAAAAAAATTTGTATACAAACAGACCGTTTACCTTTGATATTGGAAAACCCTATTTCGACTCAAAAATCTTTTTTTACCACTGATTACGAGATTTTTAATTAAAAAAATGGTACAAATGAATTTGTGAATGCATGAAAATGGTCACTCTAAATAAGACGTTACAATATAAAGTATTTTTAGGACTTAAATTCCTTATTTTTAAGAAAAAGTTGATATAGGGTTTCAACCAAATAATCCCACCTTAAAGATAAAATAAACGCGGTTGACTGGGTGCTGAAAATCCGTCCAATTGATCATTTCGACTTTTAAATATATGGATATGGGAAAAAAGGGATTTCGAATCATGAGAGTGGTGTGTCATGTAACGCCTTATGTGGACTATCCATTTTTTAGATTTTCAAGTGTTTATAGATTTATCTAATTTGTACTATTTTTTAAACTTCAAATTTTTTAAATTGAGTAGAAATTTTTTCGGCAATGACAAGGAATTCCGACACTGAAAGTGCATCTTTTGGCAGAATTTGCTAGTACACCTTTAATTATTTAAGGTTGACACTTTATACAAACCACATGCTTTTTTTTCACATCCATAATAGTCAGGATTAAGATGATCAATTTGAAGGTTTTTAGACACCAATTCTGCAATTTTCATTGAGTATTTTTTTTTTCATGAGGCTTGAGCCTTATTTTAATATTTCCATTTTGAAAAAGAAAATCGAAAGCGCTCTCTAATATGCATTTGTATTATTTCCAACTTAGTAATCAATTTAAAAAAAAAAAAAATCCATACACAATTTCTTAGAGTTTTAAAAAACAATGAGCGTGAAAAGAAGTCTTCAAATTGAACTTAAACTGCACAACCTTTTACCAAAAACATCTAAGTGTTAAAACATTCATAACCAAAATTTTATTTTACAATGAATTGGGAAGTTTGTCTTGTCAAATGCTTCCTTAAATAATCATCTAATTTTTATTAAGTGGATCTCAAAATTTCAACTCTAAAACTTCCTGTTAAGTGGCTTTTAGTAGAATAAGTGTATTGTATAGCCCAGGGAGTTAGCATGCGCGCTAGGGACTATTTAAGGGGAGGGTTAAAAAAGGTCGGATGCCCCTTATAAAAGTGACTAGGGATATAATCACAATGTGAATCACTTTAGATGGATTTCTGCGGTGGGTCATGATTTGCAGCTCAAAAAATAGGGCAGATATGATGATACACCAAGCATTAAAATGAACAGCATAAAATGTTCTAACCATCAAAGTTAAAAGAAAAAGTTTATATAATGTTGCAATGTAGAAAAAAAAAAAAGGCACACTTCAAAAATCTATCAAAAAAAGTTGTTTAGATTATGAAAAACCTTCTAATTGATCATCTTAACCTCGAAATATACCTATGTAGGAAAAAAAAGAGATTTTAAAGCGCAAAAGATGGTGCATTTTGTAATACATTATCTAGACCGTCTAGTTTCAAGATTTGTATGCATTCTATGTCTAATCGATCTATACCATTTTTTGAGTTTTAAATTTTATAACTAGATGTGAACTAGTTTCTCAGGTCATCATTGAAATTTCCGACACTAAAACTACATCTTTTGATGGTCTTTTGGTGGCGTGCCTTAATTCGATTGTTTATTGTTGAGACCTTATATAAACCTCACCCAAATTAAAATATTTTATTTTCAAAGTATCAAGATCTATTATTTCTTAATTATTTGTTAGACTTGTAAAATTTTAAGTCCAAAATCCATAGCCAAATATATTTTTGAGGGAACTGTACATGAATAGCTGAGTTAGCAGAGGCACAAAAACCTCATGCAATATAAACCCTAGAAGAATAATTGTCCAACAGTGTCACCTAAAATGGCAGAGAAGAGGAGAGAGATGAGACACTAGTGTTGGGAACTAATTTGAAACTCCTATTGGTTTCTAGACATTGGAAATGGGAATGATGGAATGGATCAATTTTGAAATGAATAGGAGATTTGGAAAGTTCAAATTAAGAATGTTTAATATTCAACATTCATTAGTTTTGAATATATTCGTAATTTCATAACAATCATGAACCAATATGCTGCATTGGTTGTTCAATGGCACCAATTAGGCCTGTGTCAATTAGCCTGGTGTCACATTTCAACATGTAACAACAAATTTGAAAGCACCCAGATCAGATAAAAGAATGAATCAACTACTGCAACAAGGCTAGAGGAGACACAGTAGAGGGGCACCTATGCACCGTGGTACGGCAGGAGGCCTACTGCAACAAGGCTAAAGGAGACACATGGAGGGGCACTTATGCACCGTGGTGCGGCAGGAGGCCTCGCAGTGCACAGGGTTGGTGCATCATGCGCAGCACAAATGAGGGGGAAACGGAACCATCATCTAGAGCAAAACTCAACACCGGCAGGGCACTGCCCATGCAACAAGAGGGGCCGCGGGGGCGGGCGCATATATTAAAGAATGAAATGCTACAGATCAGCACAGGAGAGATTCAAACAATTTTAGTCATATCTTCATCCACCTATCCATGTCTCTATCCACCTCTCTCTGTTGTATTGTAACATACAAGTAGACCATTTATGGTCATAATTACTTACAACTATCCGATGTGAAGTTTCATGGCTTAGATGTGTCACAAAATTCAAAAAAAATTATTTTGAAGTTTAAGCTTGTTCAATGGAATAATTGCAACCTCCCAATTTTACATCCAAAGGTCAACATTAATGTCTCACCTTATACCAAAGGTAAATAATCTCATTCTATACTTTCCCATATTTTATTTAAGCTGCAATTTCTATAAGGTTGCGACCTTAAACAATCCTATTAAAACGCACCTTAAAATTTTATCTTAACATACAATTTTGTTATAAAAAATTCTTAGTATTATCTAAAAATCTATTTTCATACCTAATTAAAAAATTTTAAATTTCAAAATGATTAAAATTCAATAAATCTATAAATATATGAGAATCATGAAAATAGACGATCTAGATAATATGTTGCAAGACGCACTATTTCCGAAACTCAAACCTTTTTTTTTTTTTCTTCATATTCATACATCTCAATGTTGAGATGATCGATTAGAAGGTTTTTTCAACATTAAAACAACAATTCCGATAGATTTTTGAGGTGCATATGTGATTCTACATTTTAAGGTTGCAACCTTATATAAACTTTTCCCTTTTATTTATGCAACCTTATATAAACTTTTCCCTTTTATTTATGAAGAATAAGAATGCTTATCAAAATACACCTAGCTTATCAATTATTTCACTTATTACCGAATCCAAACTATTCCAACATTGTCATAAAATATTTGAAATTAAATCTAAAAGTAAGATAAAATGTTACCTGGATTATCTCCACGTTATATTTTGATTTAATGCCCTGTAATAACAACGATAAATACAGGTCCCACCGTATCAGCTTCTTAAATGAAATAAGAGACGCCTTTGACATTTGTAGACACCAACACTCTGGGTCATTGTCCACAAACGGCCTGCCTTCTGAACCAATTGTTTCATCCCAGCCTTAGCTTCTCTTTAATCACATTTTTTGATCGAAGAAACAGATAAAAGTACCCACTTTTGAGATGGGTCTCATTCAACTGGATTTTTATTTTTTTTTCCTAATTTTAATTTGATTTATATGTCATCATCAGCAGCAGCACGACAGAAAATACTAGGCTAATCAATCCCTAATCAGCATGAAAGGGACATGCGATCAAACCACAAAACAATCAACATACATCCAACTCAAAAAATTACAAATTACAATTATATGGAAGATACCATTCGATTCCAATCATGAGGGAGACAACAAATTGAATAAAAAAGAAAAATATTGAAAAGAAGGTGGTTTCATGAATCTCCTAGAACTACAACTCCTACCCTATTCCCTATGCCTAAAAAAAAAAAAACCACTAAATCTCAATCTTCTTCTGCATCAATAAGGCCAAGGCGTTGCCGCCTATCGAAAACAGCACGGAACGACTCTTTCTCTGCTTTGAGATGCTCGAGGAATGCAGTGTGTTTCCTTGCCATTGCAGGGTTACTCGCATCAGTTGCTTCAGTTTCATCATCCTCAATCAATGGATTCGAATCCTGTTGGTTCATCAACACAGATATGTGTGAGAGAGAGAGAATGGAGTGTTGTAAATTTAGAAGTAAAACACATACCTATGCTAAAAAATAAGTTCAGATATACATAAGCAGCAGGAACAATCGCCCCCCCAAAACATAAACTTAGCAGTATATAATAGTGTTTGGGAAAATTACATAAACCGCACCCCTGCCCCCCTACAAGATTCTGTGCCGCCACTCCCTGATAGTTTTTCCCCAATACAGTTTTCTTTAGCGTATAGCACCCAATCAATTTTAGATTACTTTTGGACAAAATGCCCAAGACAAACAAGCCCATTTTCAGCTATTTTTGGAAAAACGAGCCATGTTCCGGCACATAAGAGTGCTAGACAAGATTTTGGTTTATTTTTTAAGCCGGCCTGGCACTGCTTTTGTTTTAAGATAGAATCTGGTCAAGAACATGGAGTGCCAGTCCTTTTTTGGTTTAATTTTGAAGGCAGCACTCTATGTGCCGGACCGGCTTCTATTTTAACATACACATGGAGTGCCCCACCGGATTTTGGTTTAATTTTAAAACTGCTCTTTTGGCTTTTGTTTTAACATAACATGCTTTGACATAAGGGAATGCTTCATTTGACTCGGGCATTTTTGTCCAAAAAATAGCTTAAAAGTTGATTCAGGGGGATATGCTAAATAAAAGTGTAGGGGAGACTTATGCAATAAAAAACTCCAAGGAATTGGGGGAAGGGACCTATGCAGAGAATCTTGTAGGTGGGTCGTCTATGTAATCATCCATCTATGATAACTTGTGTGAAACAAAAAATTAAAATCATGTGTGTGAATAATATGGCTTACCGAGTTATAACCAGCACCAGGCCCAATTATTAGACACCGTGAACTGGGTTTCTTCCCCCCGCCAATTGAAAAGCCACCTTTGCCAATCTGAAAGCCAGCAAAATGAAAATCAAATAAGACTAGTCAAATGATTGAATCTATGTAAGAACATTGAATGGACAGTATCATTTCAATTCTGGTAGAGAGAGGAGGAAGGGAGGAAGAGAGATTTTTAATGTCTTAGAATACAGTGCAACCTACTGCTGGTTGTGTATTTTACAGAAAGAGAGAGAGAGAGAGAGAGAGAGCGAGAGAGAGACTGTGGATACAAGGAATAGACCATGGCAAGGAGAACTAGTCAGAGGACCAGCGTACAAATTATGCATTATATACACCTTTCTGGTAATTCCTAAGGGTTAGTTTTGGACGTCAAATTTGACTCTTTTTTCTCATCTGATAAAGTTGATTGGATGTTGTAGATTTTTTTTTTCCACCTCCCCTGCCCAAGGCGGTAAATTTAACGTGCTCTCATGAAACCCTTGTGTCCCACCCGAGATGCCCTCCTCTCTCTGCGCCTTCGCATTTGCCCAAATTACAACCAGAAATCTCCCGAGTCTGTCGAGGTAACTTTTCCAACATTTTAAAAGAACCATAAACTCTGTCAACACCCTATCTCTTCTCTCTAGATTGAGAAACAAGTAGTTCAACCTCAAAACAAACCTATTATCACTGGAAACGCCACCCGTTCCGTCTTTCTTGACCCATATGTCCCCTTTAAATCTGCTCTTCACAATCCCGTTTCAATTCCCCATCCCTTCTTCCTGGACCCAATCGTCCCTTTCAAAGGAGATTACTAGGTTGCAGATGCCAATGAAAGTAATAAAAAATAACAGAGAGAGGCAGTTTTGGGGGCTGACATGGAGTCAATGGGAGTATGCACAGATGGCTTGGGAATAGAAATTGTTGGGGAGTGGCGAGCTGCATCTCATTGCAGCAGCTGATTCTTCCAAACCAACCTAATGGTATCACTTTGAATTCATCATATCTTCAATTATCGTAGATGAGGATGAAATATCATCCATATCTTTTTTTTGGGTTTGGGGGGGACGAGAGAAAGAGAGAGAGAGAGTTGCTCGGACTGAGAGAAGGTGGAACATTCATCCAGAAAAACTCAGGCCTTGACTTGAATTTCTTTTTTATGGCATTTTTTGCTTTGATGTAGGAGCTTTTTCTTTCAAGCTAAAAAGCTTGTCCAAACTTCTCAAAGTGCATTTGGCAAGATTTTTGGATTACAATCCAAAAAATTTCTACTTTCGGGTACATCCAAACTAGCACTAGGTTTCTTTTCTTAAGTTCCAGCATCATGACCCATGCAAACAATCAATTATTGGCCGACCAAGAGCAATTTCATCTATAATAAACATTCAACGGTGCAAGCTAAAATTTCAAAAGACATACCTGGTCACCCCAATGAACAGATTTCTCTCCCTTGCCGTAGGCTTGAATCAAGCCAGAGAGTGCATTCCCCTGTTTCTCTTTACGTGGATTTGCCATTTTGGGAAGCTTGACCGCATCATCTGATTCTGACCACTTGCTCTTCCCCAGTTCCCCTACTTCGTGTAGCGAGTCTGATTTATCTAATTTATCTGTTCCCCACCTCACCCCAAACTTATATAGACCTACGATGACAGAATCAACGAATAACAAACTCTATGATGAAGACACATTTGTTCTTAAAGATCATCAATAAGCCAAGGCTACTTGATGAAATCTGTGTGTGTGTGTGCGCATGTGCGTGTGTGCATGCAGCTGTGCGCCTGCATGTATCAAGAGAGAGATTTACTCCAGGATAATGACATGTCTAAGAAAGTGAAAGAAGACAGCAATCTGAATTAGTTGCACCACAATCCCATGGAATAAGTAATCACAATCTAAAGAAAAATCCAATTAGGTGCCAAAGACACATAAAGCTGCAGGATCAGACTAACCAGAGGGATTCTCATCTTCAGAAGGAGATTCTGGTGTGACATGCAATTCCGCTTTGTGTTCTTCGGAAGCGATTTCTTCAGGGCAAGATGGATCTTCAGAATCCATCTCCACCTAAAAGGAAAAATGGCATGACCTCATTGTGATTCATGAAAAAAAGAGAAGAAAAAGAAAATATCAATGCACATTGCAGTTAGTTTACTATAATCAAATATACTATGGTACACTCATTTTATTGCAGTCATCACTGTCTACACAGTGATGAAGAGAAAGCGGGACCCAAGAGAATAGAATATATACCCCCAATTATGGACCATCCATCATTCATTATGGGTCCCACTCTCTTCGCATCACCCCCGGTGTACCAGCACTGCACACTTTGCTTCTCTCCATGAATGCGAATTTTGAGATTTCGTAGCAATAACATAAAGGGTAAGGCAATTACTGAATCTTCCCATACCCATTTCTGTCTAGATATGTTTTATAATTCAATCATTTCCTAGATATGTTTTATTTTGAGATTCTGTCCAGATATGTTTTATAATTCAATCATTTCCTAGCTATCTTTTATTTTGATATATTTCAAGGAACTAGTTTAGAAGCCATAATTAACTGAGTACAGGCCTTTAATGAAATCAACTAGCACAAAAGTAACCAGCTCCTAAACTCAATTTAAATTACCTCTTGGATATCGTGCTCATTGAGATCATCTCCACTGAATAGTGACTACCATGCAAAACATAGATATATAATTAACACATCGTATAACAGCAATAAGCATTTGGGTATGCATCATCGACGAGAAATAGCAAGAACTTTATTTCACAGATAGTTATAGCTCACAATGGACTCCAGCGTACCCTAACCAAAAATAACGGAATGGAGAAAGTACGCTATAATCTACAGGACCATAAAAACAAAAACCATTGTCCATCAGTCATCACTATCCAATTGTACTGAAGGAAGTGGGATCCACAAGAACAAGATGGCGATAATTCAAGATCCCACTCTCTCCACCATTTCAATGGATGGGGATAACCCAACAGACTGCAGTTTCTCAACTTTGCATTGGAGTGTAGAATACTATATACCAAGTGATCCATAGCAACAAACCTGTGCATCCAACTGTAAATACAAAGGTGGAGCCTGCTCCCACTGATCTGCCATTTTTTGTACTGCATCAAGCGTAAATCCATGTATATTACGAGCAGCACAACCCTGTCATTGTAAAAACATCATGCAGCAATGACAATTACATTAAAGATCTTCCTCTAGAGACACATATCTAACTCCCATTGATCATTCAAGATCAAAACTTAGTGGAAAGCCAAATACAAATGGGACATGGGGATCAAAGAAATGAAAGCATACATACATATATACATACATACATTATATATATACATAGGCTCCTAACCTAATATTATACAAGTTTGCCACCCTAAAAAATGTTAAAGGGTTGCTCGTTTAACCCCATTTCTTGCACACGTCCTCTTGAAGCACACGTCCTCTTGAACCTGATGAACATGCCCATGAAAAACAAAAAAACTTAAAGGAAAAAGGAAATCGGGTTAATACCTGCCGATGCCTTGCTAGATGTGGGGTTCGACAAGGTCAAAATCCTTTCTTTTCTTTTTTTGGAAAATGTTCAATCCCAAAATTTGGAGAAATAAATTCTGTTCTGGAAGTCCTTCTGATGGGGAGATTATGGAAGGGGAGAATTCCAGTCCTTGTACACACACACGCACTAGCAAATGGTACGTGCTCTGCACGTGTTGTGAGTTACTGATTTAGATCTTTTTATTTTTATTCATGCTCTGATGGAAATTTTTAGCAAGTCGTATTGTCATAAATACAAATTGTGAATGGTGTCAAAGAGGAGTATTATGTGATAGCTACGGTACATCTAACACAATTGCATACGGTACTAATATGGTTACTATCGATTGTTGGTATATGGTATTATTGTAATATGATATGGTATGGATATACAATTATAGAGAGAAAGAGGCTTCAAGTAGAGAAACAAAAGGATTTTTATGTGTCTACAACCTTCATAATATTAACATCTTAAAAATGGATTATATGACTTATTACCGGAGGTTCAATTTCTACAATTATGCATTGAATTTTTATGTGCAACTCAATTTTGAAAATAGGATGACAGGTACGTACGCACATTCATAATTCCAATAAAATTTACATTTGCAATTTTATTAACATGTCCACCACATACATTGTGCCAAAATAGACATAAAACTTTCATAAGTGCAAGAAACTAAATTGAATTTTATGAAATACATTTGTATTGTGCCTTGGCCATTTTATGTGGAACTCGTTGTAACAAATAACCACCCATTAGTCGCATGTGCAACTTTTAAAGGCCTCATGATAGAAAGCAGGAGCATCACTATATTCTTAGTGCATTTACCCCAAAAAAGAGAAATACACCCTTAATTCTCATAAGGAATATAAATGGTAAACAACTAATGACCTCAATAGAGCTGAAAGTCGGCAGGCTTTATTCATTTGGTATCTCTTCACTTCTCGAATTTAGCATAAAGTGTATTTCTCAACATTGCCAGCATTTTCTACCTTATACATCATTCTTACAGATTAATAATTACATGTATTGATATGTTTGAAATTAGGCCTAAATGGATAGAGCCCTTTCGTATTGCCCATAGAGGACACAAATCGCAATCAGCCCATGCTAACCGTAAGGATTTCTAGGCTGAATGTCATTACATGTGGCATTGTTGTCTTCCATTTTGCATGGAACCATATCATAGTATTAACCAATTGCACCCCATGGCCATCGAATCAACCATTTTTTAAAAAAATACAGTTTTGGGATTTCTAAGTTCCTAAATCCTTTCATTAAATTGCCTCATTTTATGACTAGATTTTGCATATTTGTTGTAGCTTAGTGGCTTCGTATGTATCACTTATTTTGCATGGAAAATGGATCAAAATACTATTGGTGGCATTATCTGACTTAGTTCCTCAACCCCCAACTCATTAGATCACACTTTTCCGTGAATTGCACCTAGAGGTTCATTATACATAGCAATTCGGATTAACACTCTTATCTTCTACAGCTCTATTTCTGAGCTTGAGGTTCCCAATCAAATTTAATCAAGTTTGATGGCCCTTGCACCATCTCTTCAAATAACTTCAAAGCCTCTCCAATATTCTCTTTCTAACTATGGCAATCAACAGATAGGCATAGTTATTGTTAACAAAGTTTTCACCTCTTCCTTTGTCCTTCTCTCTCTGTTTTAGGCTTCTTTTTTTTTTGTAATTCTTGGAAAGTGGCAATTTTATTGTGTAATATTTTGTTGACTCCCAATTTCTCTCTCGTGCTTATTTTGAATTCTCTCTACTTCTTATTTCATTCCTTGAACAAAAACTATAAGTATTATTCACCTAGAAAGCATTACTTATACCAAATAAATATTAAAATAAACAAAAAGTGTAAGAAAATAAAGAAAGACACCACCAATGAAATCCATCTAAAAGTAAGGATCCAAGAAGATGGATAGCAAAGGGGTATCCGAGGTGCAACCAATTCATTAACATACCATTGGAGTTGAGCTACCTGAATCTGTTATGGAAGCTACAACACAGATGCTGGACCAAAAGAGGAATCATGCTGACAAAGTAGAAAGGTAAGTACAAGAACCTCCTGCATATCTCAGGGTGAGACCTGTATATAATTTTTATGTTTCCATATCACCACTGCTGAATGTGAAAAAACCATTTTTTGGTTTTACAAAGTTAAATTGACTACTAAGATTAATCCATTGGACTAATGCAAAGCAAGGGAACATTCTTCAGCCTTGAAGACTCCACCACTATCTAATTCCGACAGCCTGACTCTGCACACTAATCACCCTAAGCTTAAATTCAATTTATTTTTTTCATAAAGGGTGCTAAAATGAAATAATTCTACTGCCCATTTCCTATAATGATATTTTTTATTTTTTAAAAAGCAATAAGTAACAAGTTATTGTCAAGGTCATGCATCTTATTTAATTGTTAGCTTTATTTCCATTCACGATAATATTGAGAAGTGTCCTTCCTCCCGCTGTCAACACCATGGGGCTATATAGTTTGGAGTAGCATGAAAGGCATAATTCTTTTTCTTATGTTTTCTAATGGTTCCCTTGATTCTATTGACATTTGCTTTGTGATCTTAATTGAAATCTTCTCAAACTAGAATCTACTTATATTCTAGTTTCTAGAAAGAAAAAAAATATAGGCAATCCCAGCTGATCTGAATCATCTGATAATGGGTTTAGGGCAGCCATGTATCTTTCATTCATTGACCCATTTCTTCTTTGTTGTTGTTGCACTTCATCTCCTTAATTTTCTTGGGGTTTCTATACATGTACTAATTTAGCTTGTTTCAGACCTGAATTTAGATTCCCATCTCTCTACCACAGCAATTCTCATGCCTAGTAGTTGGACTCTTGAGACTGTTTGGAACTTTGGTTACATGATGATGTGATGCGATTCTCACTAGTTTGTGACGATCAAAGCAAGCAAGTGCACTGAATCGCAATTATCAAGATACAATATTAATCATTTTAATGAGTAAAATGATAAATGGTCATTTTTGTTAGAAATTACGATAAATTAAATAAGTGTTAGAGAGTAAGTGTACATTGAATAGATACAGAATGATTTTTTAGCAGTTTTTCTAATAAAACAAAATTACCCGTTTTTTTTTAAAAAAAAAAAAGCATTTGCAGAGTCTTGTATAATCCCACAATTTTAGATCCAGATAGGATTCCTAAGAAGCTTTTTCACCTGAGGAAGCAAATTGGACTTTGTGGTCCAGTGGGAGCATAGTATACACAATAATATACAATATAATATTAGATTAGAAACTAAAAAATAGTCCAGCGTGCTTTTGCAGGATCACATTTTGCACTTAACCCCCTCAGATATAAGATCCATTTAGCTTGGTCTAAAATTCATGGATGCACTTTAAAATAACCAAACGCTTGTAGTTGATCACCCTTTTTGTTCTTGAAAATAATCATATGATAATTCTTGTACTTATTCCCTCGAATGTTAAGCCCGTTTAGAAATACATTTTGGATCTAAAATTTTGGAATCCACTAAAAAAATAACTGAATGAGTACTTTTCAAAACAAATGGATACTAAGTTTCTAAACAATTAGATTTGACGGCCCTAATTTTTTGGAAAATACTCATCCAGTTATTTTTAAGTGGATCCCAATATTTCATATCCAAAAGATCTTAACTTTTTCACCTAAAACGACAAGTGGACTTTACACTCATGCAGGTGTAATATTAGATTGAGAGTGAAAAAATGGTAATGTGTGCTCCTACGGGTTCACATTGTACACTTGCCCTCTTAAATATAACAGCCACTAACGAGATGTTATACCTTGATTTAATTTTACTTGTTAATTAGTAATAATTACTTGATTGCTGAAATTATTCTAATTGTAGTTTAAATATCCAAAAAATTAACATTCTATTAATTTTACTTGTTCATTAGTAATAATTACTTGATTGCTGAAATTATGCTAATTGTATTTTAAATATCCAAAAAATTAACATTCTATAAAAAAATTCATCTATTAAAACAATATTGAAAAAAAAAACTTCTTCCAGAAAAATATAACATTAGTAACATATTCTATAAAATAAAATATAAATTCTAGTTTATTTGACATCCCTAAAATTGGGAGGCCTTAACAACACCCTAGCTTGATTTTTACAAAGGGAGCAATTAGGTGGTTTGCAACCATAGGAGCACATTGTGATTTCTTCTTTTCTTGAGGTAGGTTTTTTATAACATATTGTACAGTATTCAAAGCTCTATTATTGTTGTCTTCTTTTTAAATATAATATAATATAACATAACATAATATAATAACTATGTAAGGTCTTCAGTTGAGCTTGATGTCAGCTTTTCTATTGATTTTATCTTAGTAATATAACTAGTAACATGCATCTACTTCACAGGTGTCAATGAAGTATTATATGACCAAAACAATATAGAATTATGACCAAAAACAATATAGCATAATAATAATCTTATCATCATAATAAATGAGGTTACGTTCATATTGTGAAAAATAATGAATTCCTATCTGTATCTATCAATAGTATATTACTAAGCCAAAGTTAAGCGCTGCTCACAAGAATAAGGAACCTCTCTAAAAAGATTGTATGGT